TTAATAAAACATTACGAAATACTAACATATTTAGTTTAATTTTCAAAATAACCATTATTGTTACAAAAAAAATTATTGTTTAAGATAACAATTTTAGGATTAGAAGACTACAAGTGTATTTTTTAAAATTAAGAGACCAAATTGAAATCTTACATAAAGTTAAAGGATTAAATAAATGCTTTAGCCCTTTATTATATTAACATTATTAAGAAAAAAAATAAGTTGATCTGAGGAGTTCAAATTTTGCCACTGAAATGAACGTTTAACTGATTAGTTGTTTGCAAGTATTTTTTTTCATTTTTAAGTCTATCTTGATTTTTAATTAGAAACGATTTAGCGATAGTAAATGGGAAAGCAACAGCTCCCAACCAGCATCTTCTCCCACCCGATTCCCGCAAAATCCCAAGTTACCCATTCTTGGTGCTGAGGGATGCGTTCTTCTCAGTCGAGCACTATGAAGCAGACGATATTGGATGGCGACACACCGTATCTTCCTCAAGAAATCATCAGAAATATTCTGACAAGAATTCCGGTAAAACCCCTAATCCGACTTCAAAGTGTCTGTAAAAATTGGAAAAATCTAATCAAAACCCCATCTTTCATCACTGACCACCTTCCCCAACCTGCTCATCACAACCGTTGTCTTCTTTTCCAACGGAGTGGTCGTTCCTGTGGTGTTTCTTTGAACTTATTCTTGTTCGACTGCGAGAAGCAACTCCATGAGGTTCACAATCCTCCCGAGATGGGTTCCTTGCCGTGTGGTAGGATTGTCAGTTCCAGCAATGGTTTGATTCTCTATGTAAAAAGTTATCGTTATGGAGGCGTTCTTTCATTTTTCTTGTGGAATCCAGCGATTAGAAAGATTAAACAGGTGTCCAGGAAAAAGTATGATTTTGATGGTAATTTCTATATAGGATTTGGGTACAGTCCAATTGTTGATGATTATAAGACATTGGTAGCTTATGTTCCTGAAGGTGGGGATGAGGTTGATCAAGTAGAAGTCTATTCATTGAGCACACAGAGGTGGAAGCAAATAGAATTTCGGAACTTAGAAGGGGTGTATCTCTGTTCTGAAACTATCCCTGCTAATGGAGCTATGTTTTGGCGTGGGTCAACGTTTGTTATGAAGGATTGTCAATATCCTTTCGGTTTGGTAGTTGCATTTGACATAGCAATGGAAACCTTTACTTTGATACCACTCGCTGCTTTAGAATCTAATTCAAAGGATAAGCTTACTGTGCATGAGAACAAACTTGGTGTGATTACACTCACTAAAGAGTCTACACCTTTTTCAATGGATACTTATTTGATTGATTTGTGCGTGTTGGATAAGGGAATGGGTGCATCTCAGGAGAGATGGAGTTGGACAAAGAAATTTTCTATAAGAAGAACCTTTCTAGACTCCCCAGTTCCATTAGGTTTTTTGGGGGATGGATCCATTATGTATTTGGGGGGATGAATTGGTCTGCAACACTAATGATTGGACTAAGAAATTTTCTATAAGAAGAACCTCTCTAGGCTTGCCAGTTCCATTAGATTTTTGGGGAATGGATCCATTAGGTATTTTGCGGGATGAATTTGTCTGCAACACTAATGATATGTCTGGACACGGTGAAACTGAGCGTGAAGACAACACTGAATTGATAACTTCTCTATCCCTGTTAAATCTTAGAACAAATGAATTGAAGAAAATTGCTACCAGCAGATGTGGTAATGAATTCTCAATTATTTTCAATCATGAAGAACGCCTTGTACCAGTTGACAGCATCCACATGGAAGAGGCTTGATCCCAAATCATAATGATTACGTTGTAGATTTTGTTTTGTCTGAGCACTTTTGGTTGAAATGAACCCATAAAAGTTTAAATCATGTCGCATTTATAATCCTTGTTGTCCTAACATATCATCTAGAATGTTGAATGCTTATTAGTTCCATATGTTTTTAGCTTCATTTGAGGCATATCATACTAGTTGCTGATATACAATTACTTAGTTGCTGATGTTTTTAGTTCAATAAAAACCACTGGGATCATTGAAGAACAGATTTGACTAACTATAGTCAGCACCATCTGTTAACATTCTTTCCAAATCTCTGGAAATTGGTTTGATAATTTAAAGTGCTTATTTATAGATATAAATTAAAAATAACAATGATTAAAGAAAACGAAGATGAAAGCATCATTGATGTTGGAGGGGGGCTGTGTGTTTGTTTTTTTTTTTTTTTGGGGGGGTCAAAGTGTGTGTTTGTATTTTAAATATACGGTGAAAACAAAATCTTTCTTTCAATCTCTTTGGCTAGTATCCCCAAGAGGGGTGTTTGGATAACAAGCAAAATCATAGTTTGAAGGGTAAAATCATGATTTGGGGATTCAACTATCTAAACATGTTAATTTGTTAATTTTTTGTAAAATCACTTTTTGGTTGAAAACCATGGGCTGGAAAAAAAAAAAAAAAAAGGTAGCCAAACACCATGATTTTTGGCAAAATCATTTTTTAAATTGAAAACCATGGTTTAGATATAAAATCATGGTTTTCTATTTTTTTTTTCCTTTTGAAGGTATACAACCATGGTTTGGGATATAAAAAATAGATAAATGTGAGAGATAAAATGGATTGAGATATTATATTGAAAATCAAATTGAATATCCAGTTAACTCTTTTATTAAAAAGGGAGAGGCAATATTAGTTAATTATACATAATTTATTATTTCAAACAAAAATATAAATTAAAATATATTTTCAATCCCTTTGGCTAATATCCTCAAAGGATTGTTTGGGTAACAAGAAAAATCATAGTTTGGAGGGTGAAACCATGGTTTGGGGATCTGACTATCTAAACATGTTAATTTTTTGTAAAATCACTTTTTGATTGAAAAAAAGTAGCCAAATACCATGATTTTTTTGCAAAATCACTTTTAAATTGAAAACCATAGTTTGGTGTATAAAATCATGGTTCTTCTTCTGCTTTTGAAGGTATAAAATCATGGTTTGAGATATAAAAAATAGATAAACATGAGAGATAAAGTAGATTGAGATGTTATATTTAGAATAACATTGAATATCCAGTTAGCTCTTTTATTAAGGAGGGAGAGGTAATATTAATTAATTATATTTTATATATATAATTTATTATTTCAAACCAAAATATAAATTAAAATCTATTTTTCTATAATTATCATATTTTAACTTATACCCTTTTTAGTAATTTATACATAAAAAAATAGTTATGATGACAACTACTCAAACATTTTTACTTTATCAAAATCATTTTTTTCATAAAATCTATTTTTCTAAAATCTATTATGCAAAAGTTATTTTCTAAACTATTATTTGGTTTCATCCAAACATTTTGTAAGAAAAATAAAAGAGAAAATCACAAAAAAAAGACTGTTGAAATTGAAAAATTGCATACAAGGACCCCTTATAAAAAATTACCATTAAAACTCATACTATTGTTGTCCAAACCCATACTAATTTTGTAATGGATCCTGATTTGTAATTTTTTTTATTTTGACGGTTTTCTTTTACGATTTTCTCAAAATAAAATCGCTTCTACGATGGGCCATTCTTTTAACTTAATATTTGGTGTGGTACTGTATATTTTACTAATTAAATTCTAATTAAATCTAACTTAAATAATCAAATCAAAATTAGCATTACACTTACCTTTAATTTTCCTTTTTAATTATAGAAGGTTATTTTAGTCTTTTAATTATATCCAGAAATTCTTAATAAGGCCTCGTGACTTGATTAAGAATTTGTTTTAAGTGGAGGCCTATATTTGGATTCGTTTGTATTTAATTGTGATTTTCTCCACTTAAATTTGTATGCGTAATATTTTTTAAATTCAGAAGAAGGTTAAAATTTGAATAAAAGTTGGTTTCATATGAAACGAAAATTTTCTCCAACTAAAAAATATGCAAAATTTTTAAATTTTGCCATATCCTCTAATTCTTTATATTGTGAAAATTTATTATTAATTAATGCATAATAAACTTCCACGATTCCAAATCATCATGGCATGATAAGCTGCTAGATCTGGGGCTATCATATTTGGAAAACACAGTTGCGAAGATCAGGCCAAATTTTTTTTTAAAAAGGTTGCCGTAAAATTTTTAAATTTTAATATTTTTAAAATAGCTAAGGACTTCTAAAAAAAAAAAAGAAAAAATTTCAGAAGAAAGTATGAAATTATGATATTTTAATTTAAGCATCTAACACCTCAAAATGACAGAGGAAAAAAAAACCAAATCGAAATTTTAAAATTCAAGAGAAATGATAAAAACGTCCCTTTGTGAATAACAATTTATCTAAAAAATAATAAGTCTTGACTATAAAATAACAAGTCTTTACTTAAGATTAACAATATGTTTTTTGTTAATACATAACATGTGAATTAATTAAAAATAAGAACAATTCATCTAAAAATAATAAGTGTTGATTGCGAAATTATAAGTCTTAGCTTAAGATTAACAACACGATTTTCTATTAGATTAACAAAAGGATATTTTTGTTATTTCCTTTAAATTTTAAAATTTTAATTTGGTTTTACTTCCTTTTTTGTCATTTTGAATTTTTAGGTGCCTAAATTGGAAAATACTAATTTCACAGTTTTTTTTCTGGAATTTTCCAACCAATAAAAAAGTTGAAAAATACAAATATTAAAAGTGGAGCAATAATACAAAAATTATGACACTATACAATAAGAGAGATATTTTACTAAATTATCTTTTAAACTGAAATTTCATTAATTATTTTTAATTGATTATTCAAAAGAAGCAGAAAGATTAATTTTCCAATGATTTTGATGATAATACCACCATTTATTAAAATTAAATATTAAATCAAATTAGGTAATTTTTTTAATACTGAGATATTTATAGACATTTGAAAAAATAACGATTTATTGGGGAAAAATACTTTGGCCGTATCCCTCGAAATCCCTTCTATTCAGGAAGCCGGGGCAATCCTAAATACCAAAAAGTCATCGTTCATTGAGCAATGGGTTCCTCTTTCAAGTCCAACGCTATGGCGCTGACGACGGTGCATGGCGAGGGCGACCCAAAACTTCTTCCTCAAGCAATCGTCAGAAACATTCTCAAACGACTTCCGGTGAAGTATCTACTGCAATTTCAATGTGTGTGTAAGCAATGGAAGAATCTCATCAAGGACCGTTCTTTCATTGCTGAGCACCTCCACCACTCCACTCGTCACAATCATTCCCTTCTTTTCCAACGGAGTGGCGGAGACAAGGGTGTTCCTGTGGACTTATGCTCTCTCGACTGCGAGAAGCAATTCGATGAAGTTCAGAACATTCCTTTCGATTCCTCGGTTCGTGTTAGGATCGTCGGTTCCAGCAATGGCTTGCTCTGCGTCGAACGTTCTAGTTATCGAGTTCATTCGCTTTTCTTGTGGAATCCAGCTATTAGAAAGATTAAACAGGTGCACAGCAATGTTTATGATTTTGAGGGTAGTATCTATGTAGGATACGGGTTCAGTCCAATAGTTAAGGATTACAAGATATTGAGAGCTTATTTTACTGAAGATGAATATGAAGATGAGGTTGAGGTTAATCGAGAGGAGGTTTATTCGCTGAGCACAGAGAGATGGAGGAAAATAAAATTTGGGAACTTGAAGGGTGTAAATCTTAATTCGGAAGCTGTTACTGCTAATGGAGCTGTGTTTTGGCTTGGGTCAAAGTTAGGTGAGGAGGAGGATTTGGTAGTTTCATTTGACATGGCAATGGAAACCTTTACATTGATACCCATGCCTGCCTTGGATAGAAGTCATAAGTATACAGGCCATAAGCTTACTGTATATGAGAACAAAATTGCTGTGATTTCTCACTTTATAGAGCCTGTATCTTTTACCACTGATTCTTGGTTGATTGATTTGTGGGTGATGGAGGAAGGTATTGGTGCGCCTCAGAAGAGATGGAGTTGGACTAAGAAGTATTCTTTAATCAACTTTACAGGCTCGGAGCATCCTTAGGCATTTTTAGAATAGATCCACTATGCATTTGGAGGGATGAACTTGTCTGCAACGGTAATGAAATGTCTGGAATTGTTATTAGAACTGAATCTGAAAAGAACCTTCAAGTGAATGAAATGTTTGGAATGTTTGGTGAAGCTGAATGGGAAGAGAACATGAATGAAATGTTTGGAATCTTTGGTGAAACTGAATCTGAAGGGAACACTGAAGTGTTAAGTGTTCTATGTCTGTTAAATCTTAGAACTAATGAATTGAGGAAGATTGCTAGCGGCAGATGCAACAACGAGTTCTCAGTTATCTTCAATCATGTAGAAAGCCTTGTACCAATCAACAGCATCCGCATTCGAGAGGTTTGACCCTAAATCTTAGTAATTATCTTGTAGATTTATTAAGAGCTTGTAGTTGAAATGAACCCTTAAGAAGTTTAAATCTTTTTGTACTTATTGTCTAGAGTGATGAATGCTCATATTTAGTTCCAGATGCTTTTAGCTTTATTTAGAGCATATTGGGATACTAAGTTGTTTAGTTTTCTTTCAAATTTCTAGTTGCTGGTGCATGGATTATGTGTGAATTGTTGTGCATGTAATATACCAATGGTTTTATCTCATCCTCTAAGAAGAAAGGAAAGTAAGTCTATGGCTTTTTCATTTTATTTCTAGCGGAAAAAATGAATCAAATAAAATGGTTTTTGTGTAAGTAGCTTTCCACTTTATAGGAGAGCCTGTATGCTCTAGATGAGGGGAGGATGAGAACACTGGTTGCGATGAGCTTGCTGTGAGGTTCTCAATACAAAGTCTCTGTTAATCTATATGCATGGTCAGAAGAGCCCTCGTGTATGATTGGATGAAAGATGAGATTAAATTTAAAACTTATGGGCCTGCACATAAAAAAGAAAATTGGAGATATCATATGTTGAAGGAGGAACCTATGTTAAAATTTTCAACAGATACGGAATAATATCAATTTCCGAGTGAGAAGGGTGGCTATTAGACATGACCGAGATATTAAAGTACAACATAATCAAGAGATAACGGGTGTCATAGGTTTGAGTTTTCGATATTATTTTGTTTGGTAGGTGCTGTAATGTGTTTGTGTTTGTGTCTTCATCTTCACTCTGATCCTCTTTTCCTATTGTTATTTTTATTCTTGAGTTTACCTTTATAGCTTTTCTTTAAAATTTAATCGTGAGATGTCATGTGATGTAATTTAAAGTGAATACGTATATAGAGCAAAAAGATTTTTATAACTTATAAGCTCTCATTAATGGCAAGTTGGTTATAATATAAGTGAAGAAGAATGTGTTTCGACAGGATAATTTATATCTTGCGTATTACAGTTTCAAAGATATGCTATTCTTATAGTCTATCATGTTTCATTTTGACATTATTTATGGGGTACCCCTTGGTATAATGCATGTGTACGGGCTATTTTAGTTACCTTTATGCTTCCCCTTGGTATATCCAATGAAAAATAATTCTTTTTTATGATACACAGAATAAAATATAAAATATATTATTATATTTCTATCATATTCACCGAGTAATGGGGGCCTTTTCTATTTCATTTCATTCTTGGCACTCCAGTTAAAGTAACTCATCACTCAAGTAATCAAAACCCTTATGACAAAGGGACTTTGCTCGATCATGAGATGCAAATCCTTGAAATTTAGAACCCACCTTTGATTGATCAATATTTCATGTTGTGTTGGGAACTTAGGATCATCAATTGAAAGGTTAGTGTTTAGGATTATGCAAGTTGTTTTCCACCCTACAAGAGGGTATGTGCTCCTTGGATCTTTGGTAGTTTAGAAGAATATTTGTGAAGATTTTTTTTTTTTGGTAGTTAACCCGTCCCACATAATGGGATAAGGCTACTTGTTATTGTTTTTGTTTCACCAACCCATTTTTTCTCTTTGTTAACACTGAGGCAGAAGATATTGGATGGCAATACAAAATTTCTTCCTCTAGACATCATCAGAAACATTCTCAAGCGGCTTCCAGCAAAATCCCTATTGCAATATCAATGTGTGTGCAAACAATGGAAAAATCTCATCAAGACCCCATCTTTCATTGCTGACCACCTCCACCACTCCACTCATCACAACCCTTCTCTTCTATTCCAGCAAAGTGGCAAAGACAAGGGTGTTCCCGTGGACTTATGCTTGATCGATTGTGAGAAGCAACTCCATGAAGTTCAGTATATACCTTTCGATTCCTCGGTTCATGTTAGGATTGTCGGTTCCAGCAATGGCTTGCTCTGTGTTGAATGTTCTAGTTATCAAGTTCATTCGCTTTTCTTGTGGAATCCAGCAATTAGAAAGATCAAACCGGTGCACAGCAATGTTTATGATTTTGAGGGTAGTATCTATATAGGATATGGGTTCAGCCCTATAGTTAATGATTACAAGATATTGAGAGCTTATTGTCCTAAAGATGAATATCAAGATGAGGTTGAGGTTGAGGTTAATCGAGTGGAGGTTTATTCGCTGAGGACACAGAGATGGAAGGAAATAAAATTTGAGAATTTGAAGAGTGTAAATCTTAATTCTGAAGCTATTACTGCTAATGGAGCTGTGTTTTGGCTTGGGTCAAAGTTAGGTGAGGAGGAGGATTTGGTAGTTTCATTTGACATGGCAATGGAAACCTTTACATTGATACCAATGCCTGACTTGGATAGAAGTCATAAGTGTGCAGGCCATAAGCTTGCGGTATATGAGAACAAACTTGCTGTGATTTCTCACTTTATAGAGTCTGTATCTCCTACAACTGGTTCTTGGCTGATTGATTTGTGGGTGATAGAGGAAGTTATTGGTGCACCTCAGGAGAGATGGAGTTGGACTAAGAAGTATTCGTTAATCACCTTTACAGGCTTAGAGCATCCATTAGGTATTTTTAGGATAGATCCATTATGTATTTGGAAGGATCAACTTATCTGCAATGGTAACGAAATGTATAGAATTTTTTGTAAAACTGGAGAAAGGAACATTGACGTGAATGAAATGGTTGCAATGTTTGGTGAAACTGAATGTGAAGAGAACACTGAAGTGTCAAGTGTTCTCTGTTTGTTAAATCTTAGAACTAATGAATTGAGGAAGATTGCTGCCGCCAGCTGTAACAATGAATTCTCAGTTATCTTCAATCATGTAGAAAGCCTTGTACCAATTGACAGCACCCACATTCGAGAGGTTTGCCCCTAAATCTTAGTTATTACCTTGTAGATTATTTTTTTCCTAGAGCTTGTGATTGAAATGAACCCTTAAATGTTTCAATCATTTTGTACTTCTAATTCTCATAGTCCTTTATAGATGTCAATTTCTAACTGAAAAGTGTGACAATCACATGAAGCTTTTGCCTGCACTTTTGTTTGTTGTTTCCACTACGCTAGACAAAATCTATAGCTCATTTTTCTTTCTAGGCTATGGAGCAATCATAATCTAACATGCAGAACAGCTTCGATGAAGCTAGGCATTTCATGAGGTAATGTTGTTCATTAATTGATATTTAAAAAAAGAGAAATTGAGAATACTTGAAAAAAGAAAAAACAAATTAAGGCATGAGCTTTTAGCTGAGAATATTAACTTTCAGTAGATTTTTTAAGAGTTCCGTGGTGAACATTGAAAGCTTATAGTTCTATTATGGTTATGTTTCCTTGCTAATTTTGTGTGTGTGTGTGTGTGTGTGTGATAAATATCCGATGATTTTGGGATTTGAACTCTAGCTGTTTTAATTGTTTCCTCTCATCATTTCAGGTACACAGGACCTAATTTTGTCACGTCCCTATGAGAATGTCCCTCCGTCTTCCCTCTGGCACTGTGAATGGATGCTGGTTAAAAAAAAAAAAAAGCACTGTGAATGGATGATCGAGATCTTTTGTTCCACAATAATATTTTAGATATTTTGGAAAGACTTCTAATGTCTCTCACAGATTTCATCAAGTGTTATCTGCTTTTAATTTCTTCCTTACAGACGTGACTCTTGGTTTAATTAGTGTTATACATTCTTCAGGTATTTGGTGTTTTAATTGGATGGAGATCCTTTTATTTGTGATGATACCCCTTGCAACAATCTCAGAATTTGGTATTTGATCTGTTTGTGTGTTTTCTTTGCTTTTTTTTTTTTTTTTTAAATTTGAGTGAGAGGTATTCGTCTGTGTTTTGGGTTTGATTATTATCAGCTTCTGAATTCTGATTAACTATGGTTGTTCCTACTAAAAAGAGTTGGGTTTAGTGAAAGAAGTTAATCCCTCACAACATGATGAATCAAGGTTCTGGAAAAAGTGTCTATATTTAGTGTCCAACAGTGCCTCAAATAGGATTGTCTTCTATTAGAGAATACCTATAGTTTAGGGGAAAAACTATGGTTGTTCCTGTCCTGGCTAGTTTGTCTTGAAATGCATAGTAGTGCTGTTTCAGAGCAAATTCTACCCTATAGGAATGGCTTTAGGAATAAAAGCAAGCATTAAATAAAAATGCATGATGTTATCTCTTTTCTTGTCCTAAATATGGTTTTTAATAACAATTTTCATTCTTTAAAATTCGTAGCTAATATAATGTCAAAATCCAACTTTGCAACTTGAAAAGAGTTGATAACCACTTTAGCAAGATTTTTGAGTTCAATTTATGTGTAAAAATCAACCATGCTTTTAGAAAATTTATTCTCAATTAAGCCAAAAATTTCAAATATAACCAAATAGTACTCCTCTGGTCCTTAATATAGGATCCAATTTTTAAGTTAGTTTTGGTCCTAAATATAATACCCATTTATCATATTTATCAATTTTCTCTAAATTATTCCTATGGATACTCCTTTAACCATAATTAAGTAGAAGAGGGAGAGAAGGGATTAAGAAAGATGATTATGATGTTTTAAGAAAAATGTGTCACTTTTCTTATGATTAACTGACTTACCTAACTTTATTAATCTAATCAAATTAGTTAAATGAGTCTTATATTAAGGACTAGAGGAGTATTATATTTTATATGAGGAATGATCACATACTAGATATTAACGCATGTCCTAGTGGGAATTTAAACTCTTATTGATCACGTTTTAAAGCACTAGGCCCTTCTACTAAACATGACCACCGTTAATTCTCAAATAGTGATATTAAAAAGAAAAATATGCAACTAATAACTTGAATGAAACCAAACCCATTGTTTTGCCAATGTAAAATCCAAGATGGACCTTCTTAAGGACAAGGGCCTGTTTAGGATAACGGTGAAAATAACTCATAAACACATTTCACGCAAATTGATATAAAATTTTTTTATATACTTATCTCGTATTTCGTAGATCACGATTAAAAAGTAATTCATAAGCTGTTCCAAATAAACTTAATCTGTTTGGTTTGATATAATCGGTTTTGAACATCCAAGGGAGGGAATCATTTTCTATTCTCAATGGGAATACCAAAAGAAGTTTCTGCAAGCAACTCTGCTAGTGAGGATGGGCATTCCAATGGGTAATAATAAAGAAATTGAGAATACCCAAGAACTCTATTCTCAATGGGAATACTTGTTGACCGAAATTTAAAAAAAAAACAAAGAAAGAAATTGAGACTAATGAAATTTCAATTTCATTGGCCTTCTGCTCGAAACAATCATTTAAAACAAAATAACTTGTCACATGCAATTGAGAATTGAAGAACAAGACAACCAAAAGAGAGGAATTAATAATTCAACAATTGACACTTGCATTCACAAATTTTATTCCGGTGACTCACTTTGATGGAATCTGTTTTATAATTTATGGGACGGATCGGATCAGCTTAATAATCAAGAAACAATTAGCCAATCTCCATTTTCATACTTATTTTTTTCCTCTCTCTCTCTCTCTCTCTCTAATTTCCGTGACCATGAATTCATATTTAACAAATTTTTATGCTGTAAAATACTTCCTAACGTGTAATACTCCTTTCGATTCAAATTATGAGATCCCTTTAACTAACTTTAAAAGATCAGTTAAAAAAAATGTTAGAGCTAATTTAATTTTCTTAAGAGATAGTATGACCTTACAATAACATCTTTCGTTTATGACTAACCTTCATTTTTTAATCTTTTAAAAATGAAATTATGAGGGATATATTTGAGAAATAATTATCAATATTTCTCATGTAACAACAAAATTTAAAAAAAATATTTTACATGTATGTCTTGGTTTTAAAAAAAAGGTTAAAAAAGAAAGGCCATCCACTTGAGTATAAAATAATGGGAAAAATGACAAAAAAAATTGTTAAATTTTAAAATGATAAATAAGTGATCTCGACATGCTAAAATTATTATAAGAACAGTCAAAACTGTTACAAAAACAATTAATATGACCTAGTATCTTTTTAAAATTTAATAGGTATTTTTTATTTTTTTTAAAAAATTATTCTAAGAAGAAAACTACTTTCAAAATAGGAAAGGAAGACTACCTCAGCAGTCTATTTATCTCTTCGATTGCTCCTCTCTCTGACTGAATTCCTGTATAGATTGACTAAAGTTAGAGATGGCCAAGCTAGAATTTGATCTGAGGAGGTGAACGTAAGTGACGAAGTGGGAGACGGAGAACATGAAGCTCGAGAGGACTGTCAAGGAGAACGGAATGCCATGAGTGCAAGAGAACAGATCGTCGAGGTTTGGCAACAATGGGATTTGAAGGGACGGCTAAGGTTATAATATATTGGACGATGGAGATACATTTTTAAAAGCTAGATGATGTGTCTTTTTGTGAGTCCCTAGATTGATTGGCCGGGTATGATTTAGAGCTTTTGAGGGATGAGGAGAAAATAGCCGCTGAGAGGATTGAACCCGAATTCTACATTGTGGATTTATCCCTCCTCAATTCCTCAATTACGCTCTCATCTAAGGAGAGTGCATGAGGCCTAGTTGATAATTTTATGTCAGGGTTTGGCTTGGACTGTAACTCTATCATTAATGGTGGTTTTCTTGAAGTTAAAAATGCTGGTGGTTTGATGTTTTGTTCTCATGGTTGTGTTGGAAGACTGGTTGGAATTTCCACAGTGATTGTCCAAAGGATTATTTAAGATGGGTTTCTTCATGAGCAGGGGATTTGCTATGTTATCTCAATACTTTTGCTAAAGTTGCTGGTCAACAGGAGTTATCTTTTGGCTTTTGGGATAAATCTTTCCCAATGCATAAGATTGTATTGTTATGGTCCTAGTAAAGCTATTATTGAGTTAAAAGCTTACAATGTTCTGTTTGGTGTGAAGTATTGAAAATAAAAAGTAATAATTAAAATTGAAATTAAAAAGAAAATTTGTTAAAAAAATTAATGAAAGAAGGAATGAGGAATACCATGAGAGAAGATAACATTCCCTAATCTCATCTACATAGATTTACCCAATTACAAGTAATAAGTAATTTTCTTATATTAAATACTCTTTTAATAAGTTTTCCTAATCCTAATTTTTACATCTCACTTTTAATTCTCTACCAAATGGGGAACCTTAGTGTTCTTCTTTCCCTCCAGGTATGAGAACAGTTGTTAAAGCTGCCAATAAAAATGCGGCATTGACACTCAAGGGTTATTCTCAATGTTTGGGCAAGTCATACAACAACCACCTCTTCACACGATTATTAGGGATTATAGAACAAACTTTGCAATCTTATCTTTTGAGAGATTGGTGAATTTGCTTTGCCATATTGTGGTGTGTTAGTGGCTATTTGCAGCTTTGAAATTGAGTTTGATGTCCCTCGTTAGCTAACTACTTCATTTAGGTTGTTAACTTTGTTCTCCTTTTAACGAATGAATACTTCTTCTAGTTTAAAAAAAAAACATATGATAACAGCCACACAAAGTTACAATATCTCTTCCACCTAAATAAAAAATGTTGCATCACCTCCAACTATTTGATGTGTGTTTTGAGTTAGTGGTTATTATTAATAATGTTACCGTGATGGAAGAAGATGTTACCGGTTATTTAAATTATAAGCGACTAAGAGACTTTTCAATTGATATTCAAATACAGAATATTTAATATGTATACTAATTCTTTTCATATTGCTGGTAAAAAAAAATACTAATTCTTTTCATATTGATCTCTTTAGTACATAAAGAACAAATGATTATCTATCAGAAAATATGCAATCTGGTCCCAAAAAAAAAAACAGAAAATATGCAGTAGTTGTTGGAGTGAGAAATAGAAATATTGATTATCCCAAGGTTCAAAAAACTGGACCGGACCGGCCGGTTCAGACCGAAAACCGGTGAACCGGTTCCTGGTCCGGTCTGATTTAGCTTATGAACCGCTCTTGCAATCAACCGGGAAGAACTGGGATGGACCGGAAAAAATCGGTACAAACCGGGAAAGTCGTTGGGTTAGATGGGTCGCCGGTTCCTTTTTTTTTTAATCACTTCTTTTCCAGTCTCACCAGTCGTCGGAGAAGCCATGAAGCGTCTGATGTTGGTTGAAGAAGCTGTAAATACTAAATACTGGACACTGCTGAGATACATGGTAAGAGCAGAGAAAATCATGGAGAGAGACTCAGAAATTTGTTTGGAAGTCTGCTGCGTGCATGCTTCTTTGATTCTACTCGTGGGAGACTAGACGGTGAAGAGGAAGCCGGAAGACAATGGAGGGGGATGAGATATGTATAAAAAAAGAAAAATGACACCGGAAAAGAGCATGAGAGAGGCAGAAAGCAATTGAGAAAGAGGAGTAATGATAAGTGTTTTCAAGAAGCAAGTCTGCCGTGTCCATTGTTGAAGGAGAAGAGAGAGAAGGAAAGAAAAAGCTGACTTGTTCTGACTTATGCGTGTTATGGTGGGAAATGGCAGTAGTATCACGTGGGAAACAGAAGAAAGGAATAAAAAAAAAAAGGATTTTAATAGGTAAAGAAAAAAAAAGAAAAGATAAAATAGAATAAAAAAAATTTATATATTTTTATTCATTTTAATTAAATTATACTATTTTAATAATTACTAGTCTGATCCCGGTTGGATCCGATCTGACCCACTAACCTTCAAATCACTACGTTAACCAGTTTAGTGTCCTGTCGGTTTTTTGTTCCTTGAATTATCCGCGTGCGATGCAACGATTCTTCGTCGGCAACGAGGAATCAAACTCAAAAACCTTTCTCAGCCCCCGAAAGAAAGGGTACTCGAAAGCCTGTCGTCTCCACTCTTCAGACCTTTGGTTCCGACAAGCCTCTCGTCTCAGAGATCCCTTCTTCCCAGTGTTGTAGGAGCCGATGTTAATGGATGCCGATACTCCATTTCTCCCTCAAGAAATCGTGACGAACATTCTCAAGCGTCTCCCTGTTAAATCCCTAATCCGACTTCGATGTGTCTGCAAAGAGTGGAAAAATCTTATCAAGACCCCATCTTTCATCGCTGACCACCTCCAACACCACAGAGATAAAAATCCTTTGCTTATTTGGCATCGGGGTGAGGGCCCTAGACGTCGACGCTTACAAATGCTCGATTACAAGTTGAGAGTCCTTGAAGTTCTGCCCTCGCCTTTGGTTTCAAAAAGGGCTACGATCGTCGGTTCCAGCAATGGTTTGCTCTGTCTTATATGCTACCATAAATTTCCGTCTCTTCCTTTTCTTTTATTGTGGAATCCTGCCACTAGAGAGGCCAGGGAGGTTCCCCAACCTGTTAATAGTATTAATGACGATTTCGGGGTAGGATTTGGGTTCAGTCCAAGTGTTAATGATTACAAGATAGTGATATCTGGTGCGACTTGGTTTTTGGGTGACGAGGATATTCGTGTAGAAGTGTATTCATTAAGCACAAGGTCTTGGAAGGAAATAAAAGTTGGGAACTTTGGGGGTGTAGGGTTTTATTATCTTCCACCTGTCACTGCTAATGGAGCTATTTTTTGGTTTGGATACAAGCCGGGTGAAAAGGAGGGACGTTATGATTGGATAATAATTTCATTTGACATAGCAATGGAAGTGTTTTCATTGATACCGCTGCCTGCTTTATTAGACTTTGGTTCACTGGAGACGCTTACCGTGTATGAGAACAAACTTGCTATACTTTCTCGTGCTGTGATTGGGAACTATGAATCTTTTGTGATTGATTTGTGGGTGATGGAGGAAGGTACAGTTGCATCTGGGGAGAGATGGGATTGGAGTAAGGTATGTAGTATTAGCACCTCTTCAGATATGGTTCCACGCTGCATTTGGTTAGATGAAATTGTTTGTGAAGTTGATCATCAGCCCAAACATGATAAGACTGCTCTATGTCTGTTGAATCTTAATACTCTTAAAGTGGAGAACTTTGCTACCTTCGGATATGCCTGTTCTATTTCAGTTGCTTCTAATCATGTAGAAAGTCTTGTACCTATTGGCAACATTCACCTTCAAGAGCCTTGATTCTAAATCTTAACCATTACTTCACAAATTCAAGGGGAAATGACCACAACAAAATTTAGATGACTGTTTTTGTGGTCCTTGATGCCCTTTATACTCAGAACAAGATGCTTCTGGCATGTTGTATATACCCTGTTTCTGTTATCAGATAGTTTAGTGTTCTTCCTTTGTTGGCAGCACTCAGATCCCTAAGTCTTAATCATTACTTTGCGTATTTGATTTGTCTGAGGACTTCTGGTGAAAACGAATCCAGCACAATGTAGATTGTATAACAACAACTGTTATTTTTTTTTCCCTCGTTTTGCATTTATTTACTTTCTTACTCACCTTTTAGTTTCATTTTTCCTAGTACATTTTATTTACTCCCCCTGACCTGTTCATATTTCACTTTCCCATGAGAATGCATTCTTCCTTCAAATAATGTGAAATAATATATGGCAAATGGCAATGGATGGTGGCAGATATTTTCTATACCCAACAATGCTATAATACGCGTTTTTAAAACACTATTCACCAGAATTGTGTTTTCCCCCTCCACTGATTCCATTGGAGATGTAATTCTTTTTTTTTTTTTGGGGTGATAAGAGATGTAATTCTTTGCACATACGTTCTAATGATTTAGTTATGCCACCTCCTTACGTTATTTTATTTGTATCTTACTGTTTATTTTCAAATAAACGAGGTGTCATATTTCAACAATTAAAACACTCAATACTAACCAAGTTTTTTTAGCTGACAATAATGACTATTAGAAGTTGCAAATTGAGTCAGCAAAGAGGGTAGAAATAGTCGAGAATTGATTTTCCCCCCCCCCCCCCCCTCAAAGTTAAACGATGCTTCAAGAGTTTTTCCCCTTATGAAGTTTACAATACCAAATCTCTTGATCCTTTCCATTTACTTGTTAATCTACTTTCTCGTGGCATTATCACTTTTTGCTCTTGCCTTCTGGTGCATCATTTTTTCTTCATCCATTCAATTTCTTGTTTTCCACTTTATTTTTCTTTTTCCGCTCATCCTTTAATGCACACCAAAACAGATGGCAGATAGACAACGAAGATCATATGCCACAAAATATTACTATGTGGGAGAATTTCAATAAAACCTCTTGGTAGCTAATTAATATCAGTCAACCCTCAAAACATCTCAAAACCAAAATGAAATTAAAATTTAAGAGTAAAAATATAATAATACCCTTCTTTTTTATTTTTTTTAAAAACAAATATTAATTGTCGCTAGACCCAAGCTTTGACTTGTGACGCTAGTGGTTGGAACTTCAACTTTTAATGACAGGTCATCAGAGTTTTGGTAGTAAAAGGATTTCTTAAAAATAAGGTGGCTGGGAAGAGGTTTGAATCCATAATCTCTTGGCACATCAAAAGGAATATAACTATCAAATCAATTGATCTACTTAGTCACATGATGCAAAATATATATATATATATATAAAATCAATTGCAAGTGTCTAAGTATAAATATATATAACGGCTAACATTTTAAAAAAATTAAAAAAAATTTAAAAAAAGTAAGAAGGAAAAAAATAAATTCTAACGGATTGGCGGGTTAGGGTTGACAAAATGTCAACCCGCCAAAAAACAGGGTTTTTGAGAGCACACTGTGTAGCTCGCAACCTGCAAGTTAGCCCGTTTTACCAGTCCTAATTGTGGATTTATCCCTTCTCAATCCCTCAATTACGCTCTCATCTAAGGAGAGTGCATGAGGCCTAGTTGATCATTTTACAATGCCAAATCTCTTGATCTTTTTCATTTACTTGTTAATCTACTTTTTCGTAGCGTTATCACTTTTTGCTCTTACCTCCTGGTGCATCACTTTTTTCTTCATCCTTTCAATTTCTTATTTTCCACTTTATTTTTCTTTTTCCTCTCATCCTTTCAGGCAAACCAAAACAGATGGCAGATAGACAACAAAGATCATCTACCCCAAAATATTATTTGAGAGAATTTCAATAAACTCCCTAATTAATATCAGTCAACCCCCCAAAACATCTCAAAATCTTAGTTCAATTTTAACTTTTCCTTGCGTACCAAACACAAATTTTCCCTTATCCTGTTAGTTTCTTCCTAAAATTTCTTCTCATCCTTCCATATACACATACACCAAAACAATTTTTAGTAGTCACCATTAAAAAAAAAAAAGCCAATTTTTTTAGCTTTAGAGGCTCATGCTCTCTGGAAGCACTGAAATAAATGCAGTAGATGATATGCGAACCCATAATATAACTATTCACAGAATGTATTTGATCCCGCTAACTTAAACCGTTAATGCCTACCCTTTAATTCAATATATATATATATATATATATATATATATATATATATAACCCACATTTTCAGAAGACTCTCAACAAGATTCCTTGTTGGACATCAATGCCTCGTCTCTCATGATGGCAATTCAACCCACCGTTCTTCACCAAAATTGCTTCCGTGCTTGTACATCAATATTAATTTACTTGATTGTCTTAGAAATTTTATTATAGTTTTAATTAGGGAAGCATTCTTCAGATATTTTGTGTTTAGATTTGATGAAAATCCTTTTATCAGCTATTATTATTTGATTTTTATCTCACCATTTGTTTCCAGACAACTAAAACCCTGATTACTAACCGTCAGAATTTACAAGTTGACTCAGTAAAAAACAAGGTAAGAACTGAAAATTTTGTCAAGTCTCAAGGATCCATCCTTAAGGCACTAAGCCGCAGAAAACAGCATAATAGGAATTTGCGCAAGAGACTTCTCATCCTTTGTCAAACAGCATAGGGATCATTTAGAAGAGATCTGGTGAAATGTTCCCTGGCTGTAGCCAATGCTTGGCTTATTATCTGCAGAAAACACCCATGAAATATGTAACTACTGAAATCACAATGGCAGCCGAAAGGTACCAATAGATGTGGAAACCTCCAATATTAAGAAAAGACAATATCTTCCATCAACAATCAGAGTTTGATTCCACTAGGAGACACTTGGAGAAGAATATCCTGAATCATATCAGAGGTGCTCTTGAGACGAACCATTAAGTGGCTTGGGTCCCACTTGATTACTGAACTCCACAAAGCCAGTGAATTCTACGTGAGTAGATTCCCTCAGCGGCATTTTTTCTCGTATCTCTCAGAAGCTCATCTGAGCCGTTTAATTCTATTTTTGTTGCCTTTTAAAATGCCCTGAACCCTCAATTGCGAACATGACGTTGATTTTCTACAACCTTTACCAGAGACAAAACAACCAAAGGAACATTTTACTAAAAGTAAATTACTTTCATGGGTTTAGTGCTATTCCAGGTAAAACTTACACTTTCCCAGTGCTGCGAGAAACCTGAAATGAGATATATAGATGGGGCTTAACCATGTAATGTTTATGGTGTTTGAACTCAATTCTGCCATTATATTACAATTATATGTCAAGCCTATACATGCTCCTCGCTCAAGATATGCATGTATAATTGCATATAGATATGACGAGAAAGAAACAATTCCAAATCATCAAGATGGTCCTATATATATATATATATATGAAGAATAATAGTCTTACACCACAAAATCTATAACTGTTTACGCGTACCGCACTATCATGAATTTCTTTTTTAATAACGAATTCACCATGGGAACAAAAGGGAGATGGAGTGCATGGACACAAGCTTCATTTCAATTCATAAACTAACAAGGGAGATAGGTTACAGAGCATTCATGTTATGTCTATGCTGGTGAGTTAAGAAAATGGGTCGTCCCCTGTTTGTTGACTTTGGATCCTTCAGAATCAGAAGTTAAGAATGTTTCCTGAAGGAAAATTTGATCTGGAATTTTGCAAGCGTCAAGACCCCCTGAAAACATGACTTTCTTCTTGTCATTCTTTCATTCACCCCCTCCCTCCAATATTCTTATGGGGTTTTAGTGAATTTCTTTTGATTGGATTTACATGCCTCCATATAAAACCAGCATGTCATGCAAGTTGTACAAATAACCATCTTTTTAATACTATGTAAATTCAGGAAGTCTCACCAATTTTATAGGACACCTACTTCAACCAAAATGCTATGCTTTACACGGCTCAAAGCTAAATTTGCCAACATGCATCTTGTAGCCTCTTCACTTCTACATCCTCATCTTCAAGATACTTAATGCTTCTTTACCTATGGAAATGACGTCCACACATTCCTCAATAAGCTATGGCAAGAAATACGGATAAATGCAGGTGGCAATATACCTATTCGTATACCTCAGGAGCCAAGGAAGACTGCCTCAGCAGTCTATTTATCTCTTCGATTGCTCCTCTCTCTGACTGAATTCGTTTATAGATTGACTAAAGTTAGAGATGGCTAAACTAGAATTTGATCTGAGGAGGTGAACGTAAGTGACGAAGTGGGAGACGGAGAACATGAAGCTCGAGAGGACTGTCAAGGAGAACGGAATGCCATGAGTGCAAGAGAACAGATCGTCGAGGTTTGGCAACAATGGGATTTGAAGGGACGGCTAAGGTTATAATATATTGGACGATGGAGATACATTTTTAAGAGCTAGATGATGTGTCTTTTTGTGAGTCCCTAGATTGATTGGCCGGATATGATTTAGAGCTTTTGAGGGATGAGGAGAAAATAGCCGCTGAGAGGATCTGAACCCGAATTCTACATTGTGGATTTATCCCTCCTCAATTCCTCAATTACGCTCTCATCTAAGGAGAGTGCATGAGGCCTAGTTGATAATTTTATGTCAGGGTTTGGCTTGGACTGTAACTCTATCATTAATGGTGGTTTTCTTGAAGTTAAAAATGCTGGTGGTTTGATGTTTTGTTCTCATGGTTGTGTTGGAAGACTGGTTGGAATTTCCACAGTGATTGTCCAAAGGATTATTTAAGATGGGTTTCTTCATGAGCAGGGGATTTGCTATGTTATCTCAATACTTTTGCTAAAGTTGCTGGTCAACAGGAGTTATCTTTTGGCTTTTGGGATAAATCTTTCCCGATGCATAAGATTGTATTGTTATGGTCCTAGTAAAGCTATTATTGAGTTAAAAGCTTACAATGTTCTGTTTGGTGTGAAGTATTGAAAATAAAAAGTAATAATTAAAATTGAAATTAAAAAGAAAATTTGTTAAAAAAATTAATGAAAGTAGAAATGAGGAATACGATGAGA